GACCTATAGGATTCATCATTGTCAGCTTTAAGTTTGGAGGGCAGGTTTAGAGAAAGTGTGCAAGAACTGTCACTGTTTTGATTTCCTTTTAAAGCGTTTGCAGGTTAGCACTAGCCTTTTAATCTACCAAGAGCCAAAGAGGCAAAACCAAGCTAACCACCATTTGTCACATTCTGCCTGTCAGCCATGTTTTAGTTTGGCCCTCTGAGTTTTGGTTACATTTGATCAGTTCAGTGTCTGTTGTTTAGTATGTTGTGTTTTAGGGTTCAGTCCGGTCTGTTGTCCTGTGTCCAGTCTGTTATGTCATTGTGAGCTCTGCCTGATTTGTCACCCGTTTGGTTTTTATCTCCCTGTGTTTACCTGTTGAGTTATCTTAGTCTGTGGTTGAGTTTGTCAGTGTTGTCCTGTTACCTTGTTGTCCTTAGCCTCTCTGTGTCATTAGTCCGGTCCCTGTTTGTGTTGTTCATTTCCTGGTTCTGTTTAGCTCACTTCGTACCTGTCTGTCATGTATTCTGTGTAGCCTTGTTTATGTTATTCATCCGCATCTTTAAGTTTACCTAGTATCCGTCTTGTCTCTTAGGTTTGATTCTGCATCTTAGCTCCTGCATCTTAGCCCTGTGTCTTAGCTCCTAGTTCTGTGTCTCAGTTCATGTCTTAGTGTTTACTTCTGGTCTGTGTTCTTCTGTGTTATTTTGCCCATGTCTAATCTTTGCTTCAGTCTGTGGTCCTTGTTGTTGGTGTATTCGTGATCTGCCTGCTTGTGTCTGTTCCCCCAGTGTTCCTCTGCTTGCATGTCCACTAAATCCTTTGAGTTCCAGTTAATGTATGGTGTTTTGCACCTGTAAGTGTCTCTCTGTTCCCCCCTGCTGTCTCTCTGCCTGCTTGCCTGTATCTCTGTTTTCCATACTCTCTGCCTGCCTCGTTAGCCCTGATCCCGGTCACCTGTGTTGCTCCTGTCCTGCTCGTTACTCCCTATGTATAAATGTTTTGTGTTTCTGTCCATTCTCTGTCTGGTCATTGTAGTGTAGTGTTCTCACTCAGTCATGTTAGTGTGGAGGAGTGTTCTGTTGGATTTTCCTGTCTACTGCGTGTAAGCCTGTTACCTGTTGTTTCATATGGATTAAAGACCCTGAACTGCATCTGCTCTGCCCTGGTGTCTTGCATTTAGGCTCTCACCTTCTCTGCACTCACCCAGAATCGTGACACCCTTGACCTTTTGCTTCTTATTTATTTAGTTGTCCTGAATAGTTTGCACACTGAATTCAAAATTAAAATGCTAGACATTAAACTGTTTTTTAAATGTCCCATACCTGTCACATTTCTAAAAGTAAAACTGCTAAAATGAACTAGCACATAGGAAGCCACAATGTCATTTACATTTGACAATGCCAGCTGTAATGTTGGCAATGTTGTTTGAGCAGTCAGACTATCACTGAAATATCCCAACAACAAATTGCCCTGAAATTTTTTAGAATTGGAAGAAACATAATGATTTGGTGATCCCCTGACTTTTCCTGTAGAGCCACAAGAATGCCAGAGCTTTCACTTAAAGGATCATTTGTATTTTTAAACTTGGGCCCTGTTTTCACATATTTTGGAATCGCAATGAGTAGTTTTGGAATCTGTAGAATAGATAGCTTCAGCCGGCAGCCACGAACCGACTGCAACATATTGCTTTGGGGCTATTGTGCCCATCAAAATTATGTCCACAGTAAGTGCTTCTGTCTGGCAACATCATGGAAAAGATCCCTACGAGTGACTTCAGGTGACACCCTTTGTTTTTGACTAGAAACAGAATTCTCATTCTAGGACATCTTTCTCTCTGAAATCTTGTGAAAGGCAAGTTGTTGAAGAAGATGACGGTGGAAGCGTGAGTCGGAGTTGGAGAGAGGAGTTTGCTGTGTTGGAAAACAGTTTGTGTTGATCGCTTTGGTAATATTATAGCAATTATGTGATAAAATTTCACAACTCCTAGTATAAAACTCTAAAGTCATCGCACTTGTAACACAGACAAAACTTGCTACTGTGCAATTATTTGGATTGTTAACATCGTTCACCACACAACCACTGATTCTTGTTTCTCGTGAAACATCATGAGAAAATATGGTTTAATCACCAAAACACAACATAATGAAATCTTTTCAGTTTAGTCCTTTTAACGTCCAGTGAATCCAATAACAAACAATGCAAGATACATGTTTCAAATCACATTAGAAGTGCAGAATGTAGTATGCTTCAGTACTGTAAAAGGCATATTACAGTTTTCACATTAGGCAATACACTTACCTGATATATCTATCCTATATGTAATCAAGTTGTGATCAATGAAGACATCCTCTATAATCACTGATGGAAGAAAAACTTTTATAGTATTTTATTGGTGCAACATGTAGGTTTTGTCTAATCAAATGCAACAAATACTATAACAATTATGGATGGTAATCATGTAGTTTATTTTACAGTATTGTAGACTATAATTATAGCAGTGGTCATTTGTGGCTCTGTTTGTTAGAGCACTAAGCTACTAGCATTAATGTTGTACGTTTAAATCCCACCAAGGTCACATACAGTAAAAATCTCACGCCTTAGAGTGGTGATTCTAAAGTTTTGAATCTGAACATAAGGCAAATGAAACAATACACACATATAGCAATTATTCAAAGATCAATTAGGAACAATGAGCATAGTGACAGTAAAAGGTATTTTAACAATAATGTACTTTGTATAAAGACAATGTATTTCAATGTGAAACATGCCTTTTTACATGTCTTTGTTGTACTCCGTGTTTTGTACTAAGAGTGATGAAATATTACCACATATTTAGTACCATAGTGACAGAAAAAAAAACTAACAGGAAATAAAGTCTTGCTAGCAGTTCCTCTATGTACACAACAAACTTCTCTCCCTCATTTCAACTGTGTTTCCTGCAAGAACTCACCTGTCATGAGACAAATGTGGTCAGACAGCTCAAAAAAACAAACAAAAGAAAAGGGGTTTTTTTTTTCCCTATATGAAATTGCAGTAGCAGTAGCTTTCCAAATTTGTAGTAGATTTACGTCCTACATCACATATACTGTTCCTGTTAAAATGGTAAAGTGTATTGATTTTTTGTATAGTATCTGCTAAAACAGTATCGGGTGTAGACAGTGTATAGCATTAGCATAGACTTGGGATGAAGCCAGTCTTGTTTTTCAAAGGGTGATTGGGATACATTTGGTTTAAAGACATAAAACAGGAAATGTCAGATTTAATTGTTTTGCTGCTGCTTGATCAAACCCACATTGCAATAAAATGTTTGTCAATTCCCTCAATTACATTTCAGTTCCACTCCACAAACTGTGTTAAAAGATCCATTAAGATGCAAACCTGCTTTAACCTCATCAGTCCCATCTGGCTTAGTTTGAGTGAGGCTTGCAAACAGCTGGTCTATCGTGCTTTCAAGTGATATATCAGAAGGCCTTTTTCCTTATGAATAAAATGAAGTAATTACTTTGCTGTAACCTTTCTTGGCATGTTATTATAGCAATCAAAGCAACATCTGAGCATCAATGTTTGTTGTGTCCCATTCTTCCTAATACAAAATTAGGCTATACAGCGTTCACTAAGTAGATGCCTGTCTAATTCATTTGTGATTAGGGCTGCAACAACGAAACGATTAAATCGATTTCTGAAAGAGTTGGCAACGAATTTCATAATCTATTCGTTGCGACGCAGATATGTTTGAGTATATAAAAAAAAATGAGCCGGAGTACTCTTGGTCTCTCTCACGCACTGTCACTCAATCGCGGAGTTCGCATTTGTCCAGTATGGCGCCTCATAGACAGAGCGGAGCAAAAATAAAAATGCGCGGAGAAGAGTGGAGGTAGAGGAAAGACCATCGGAGAGACCCGTAACGTTGTTTTGAAACATGGCGGAGGCAGAGAAAGCAGTACGACCTAAGTCATCCAAGGTGTGGGAGCATTTCACACTAAATAAACCGAACAAGTGTGTTAATTGCAAGGATTGCAAAATCGACATGGCATGGCACGGGAGCACCTCGGCGATGATTCAGCACCTAAAACGTAAACATGTTGGAGTCATGGATGAGGAGGAAGGGAGTCCAACAGCAGGGTAAGTCACTAGAATCCTACTTTTGTTCCGTTTTTAAGTGAGGAACGTAACGTCCCTCCAGTAGCTCTTCTGGTGGTACAAGTATGACAAATTAGCATTAGCTCATTAATAACAGTAGTAAAGCAGGGGTGGTATACAGTAAGTATTTAGTCAGCCACTGATTGTGCAAGTTCTCCTACTTAGAAAGATGAGAGAGGTCTGTAATTTTCATCATAGGTACACTTCAACTATGAGAGACAAAATGAGAAAAAAATCTATTATGTCTCTATGATTTTATATATATATATATATATATATATGAGCTGTGTCCTAATGGTAAGATGTGGAACAATGATGTTGTGTGGTTGTGGACTTTGGTTGAGTAACTTATACCTGCTATATCTGCTAGGTTACGGTCACAGTCTGAAGCAGCTTTGATTTGGAATACACTACCTTATTTCTTACGACCCGCCCTTCTCTGCTTCTGATTGGCTTTTAATGCAATCTAATACAATTAACTTATTTTAAAGGCTTTGTGGTAAAAGTACAAGCAATCAAATTTGAAAAGTTTTTCGTATAACCAAACACTCAATCAAAATTATACAGGTTCTGGTCATATAATTAGAATATCATCAAAAAGTTAATTTATTTCAGTATTTCCATTCAAAAAGTGAAACTTGGATATTATATTCATTCATTACACACAGACTGATATATTTCAAATGTTTATTTCATTTAATTGTGATGATTAAAACTGACAACTAATGAAAATCTCAAATTCAGTATTTTCAAAAATTAGAATATTACTTACAGTATTTCTCAATTGCTAAAACACTAAAATCCATTTGCAAAACCATTTGGTGCCTTCAACTCAGAATGTCACAACACAGCCCCCAAAAGTGAAACACAAGCAACACACTGTTGTCATCGGTAGCGCACAAAATTTAACACACCTGTTTCAAATCAGTAATGTGTTGCTCCTAATCAGTAAGAAGGATATAAAGCCATGTCAAATCCAGATGGCATGTGTGATTTTCACAATGGAGGGCAAGAGAGAAGGTGGAAGAGGAAGAGGAAGAGGAGACGGAGGAACAACAACAACAACAACAACAACAACAACAACAACAAGAGCCATAATTTCCAATGAAATTAGAGCAACAATCATACACCATGTTCTGGTTCGTGGAATGAGTATGAGGAAAGCAGGACTACGTGTTCAACCAAATATAAGCAGGTTCTCTGTGGCCTCCATTGTCAGGACATTCAGAGAAGAGAACAGGTAAGTGTACTATCATTTGTGGTCCCTCAAACTTACAGTAGAGTATATACAGTTGTGGAATGTCTCAGTAAATTACTGTAACATGTCTAAAAATTGGCTCTCTTCTTGCAGTATTACAGTAAAACTAATAGCAGTATAACAGTATTTTATGTATTGTACATATTTGTTGACATTTCAATGCATTAGGCCTGTCTGAACAATTCTAACGAGGTTTTTTTTGCTAGAATTGAAAGACTGCCACATGCTGGTGGAAGGAGAGGTATGTTTTCACAACAGCAGGAGACCATTATTGTCAATATGGTCCTTCAAAATAATCTCATTCGTCTGCGTGAAATACAACAGCGAGTTGAGGAAGACAACGTGAACTTTGAAGGAATCAACAGTGTGAGTCTCTCCACAATTGACTGTGTCCTGAAACGCAACCTGACATGTCTCAAACAAGCCTACAGAGTACCATTTGAGAGAAATTCTGAAAGGGTAAAAGAGCTATGATATCAATATGTACAAGTAATCATGTCCAGAGATTATACAGCACTATTGAGTTACTGTACATCTTTACTGTGTTGAATGTAATGCAGCCCATGTATACAGAGCCATAAAGCCTGGAATGCTATGTCATTTACGTTACTTCAAAAATTAATTTTTGTTCATTTCTATAGAGAATGTTTCAACTGGATTCCATGGAGAGGCCTCATGAGTGCATCTTCTTGGATGAAGCTGGCTTCAATCTCACCAAGAGGAGAAGGAGAGGCCGCAACATTATTGGTCAACGTGCCATTGTAGAGTTGCCAGGGCAGCGTGGTGGCCATATGTGCTGATGGCAGCACATATGGTCACGATTTTGGGGTGGGGTTATTCACCGCCATGTGACTTTAGGGCCTTACAACACTGCCCATCTTATAATGTTTCTGCATGCTCTACAGGAAGCACTACTGAGACGTGAACAGAGGTGATGAGCAGGCAGAGCATCCCATGTATGTGGTAATCTGGGACAATGTGAATTTTCACCGTGGTCCTAGAATTCGTGAGTGGTTTGAAAATAACCTACGTTTTATAAATGTGTGCCTCCCACCATACTCACCCTTCCTTAATCCCATTGAAGAATTTTTTTTTTTCTGCATGGAGGTGGAGGGTCTATGACAGAAATCCTTCAGGAAAATCTCATTCAGTAAATGGACGCAGCATGTGACAACATTGGAGTGGAAGCGATTCAAGGTTGGATTCGGCATGCTAAAGGATTCTTTCCCCGTTGCTTAGCAAGAGACAGGATTGCCTGTGACATTGATGAGGTCCTGTGGCCTGACCATGCCCAGAGGCATGATGCTGAGGCAGAATGATTCCAAGACTATTTGCTATTGATCTGCTGCATATTTTGTTTGACTGCTGCATATTTTGTTTGACTACATTTACTGTATGTGTGCAGGAAGTACTTCATAAAATATTTTTTTCCCCCCTGCTCTGCCCTGAGTGCAGTGTTTTGCATTTATCTCTGGTGTGTGTGTGTGTGTGTGTGTGTGTGTGTGTGTGTGTGTTACCTGAAAACAGTGTTTGGTTTTGTGTAAAGATAACATAGTTCTGAAGCAATTGTTTGATATAGCAAGAAAAGTCAAAGGTTTTGACAGTGTAGCTTAAGTTTGGTGATTTGTGTTTAAGGTTTTGAGAAAGCAAGAGAAACCTTTAAAAAAATTCAGCAATACTGTAAGACCAATACAAAAAAAGGATTTTTAGAAATGTTGGCCAACTGAAACATATGAAAATGAAATGTTTGAGCATAAGCAGCACTCAATACTTATTGGGGCTACTTTTGCTTGAATTACTGCAGCAATGCGGCGTGGCATGGAGTTGATCAGTCTGTGGCACTGCTCAGGTGTTATGAGAGCCCAGGTTGCTCTGATAGTGGCCTTCAGCTCTTCTGCAGTGTTGGGTCTGGCATATGCATCTTCCTCTTCACAATACCCCATAGATTTTCTATAGGGTTAAGGTCAGGCGAGTTTGCTGGCCAATTAAGAACAGGGATACTACGGTCCTTAAACCAGGTACTGGTAGCTTTGGCACTGTGTGCAGGTGCCAAGTCCTGTTGGAAAATGAAATCTGCATCTCCATAAAGTTGGTCAGCAGCAGGAAACATGAAGTGCTCTAAAACTTCCTGGTAGACGGCTGCGTTGACCTTGGACCTCAGAAAACACAGTGGACCAACACCAGCAGATGACATGGCACCCCAAACCATCACTGACTGTGGAAACTTTACACTGGACTTCAAGCAACGTGGATTCTGTGCCTCTCCTCTCTTCCTCCAGACTCTGGGACCTTGATTTCCAAAGGAAATGCAAAACTTATTTTCATCAGAGAACATAACTTTGGACCACTCAGCAGCAGTCCAGTCCTTTTTGTCTTTAGCCCAGGCGAGACGCTTCTGACGCTGTCTTGTTCAAGAGTGGCTTGACACAAGGAATGCGACAGCTGAAACCCATGTCTTACATACGTCTGTGCGTGGTGGTTCTTGAAGCACTGACTCCAGCTGCAGTCCACTCTTTGTGAATCTCCCCCACATTTTTGAATGGGATTTGTTTCACAATCTTCTCCAGGGTGCGGTTATTCCTATTGCTTGTACACTTTTTTTTTCTACCACATCTTTTCCTTCGCTTCGCCTCTCTATTAATGTGCTTGGACACAGAGCTCTGTGAACAGCCAGCCTCTTTAGCATGACCTTTTGTGTCTTGCCCTCCTTGTGCAAGGTGTCAATGGTCGTCCTTTGGACAGCTGTCAAGTCAGCAGTCTTCCCCATGATTGTGTAGCCTACAGAACTAGACTGAGAGACCATTTAAAGGCCTTTGCAGGTGTTTTGCTGATTAGAGTGTGGCACCAGGTGTCTTCAATATTGAACCTTTTCACAATATTCTAATTTTCTGAGATACTGATTTTGGGGTTTTCATTAGTTGTTAGTTATAATCATCACAATTAAAAGGAATGAACACTTGAAATAAATCAGTCTGTGTCGGATGAATGTATACATTATACAAGTTTCACTTTTTGAATGGAATTTTTGATGATATTCTAATTATATGACCAGTACCTGTACACCATGGTGGTTTAAAATGGGGGGGGGGGACAAATCCTGGTGAATTTTTCCCAGAACGGCTGAGTTTTATCAGACATCAAGAGCCTCCTGAATATTGCTAGCTATGAGAAATTTGAAGAAAATCTATTTTTAAGTCCCTTAAAGTTTTAATGTAGCACTTTGAAACTGCCATGTGTATGAGTTGCCCAATACACAAACAGGACTTACACCCACATTACAACATTTTCTGAGACGCTGGTGCAGTCAAAAAGCTACATCCTGTGGTTTATTCAGGAAGCAACTCAAGCAACTACATGGAACTGGCACCAACCCAAATAATCATTCTTTGAAAAACATATATAAAAATATATTTATTTTGTAAAATTAGTATGTAAAAGTACATGTCAATTGAGTAGTAGTGTATTTCCCCTTTTAAGGAAATTCTTTGACATGGTTATTCACTCAAAAATACCACTTTTTTATATAAGCACGGAAGCATGAAAGACAGATATGGTGATGTGGACTCACCATGCACTTCTGGATGAAGAGCTGGGCTCCCTTCAGTTTTGGCAAAGTCTGTGGCGCTCCTCTTCATTCAGAACCTGGGTGTAGAAGGTAAGAACCTGCAATACACACACAAAAAAGTTGAGAACCTGGTCAAAGTGCATAAATGAGAATGAGATTATTTCAATTGCAAGGTCAAACAGAAATTGCAGTTAAAAAAAGTAACTATGTAATTGGTAATGCTATTTTAACAAACTAATATAATGTACTGTAAATACAAAGCAGTAGAAATATGACTTACTGCCCCCTTTAACCCAGATATGGTGATAATTATCTTATTTGCATTTCTGTCTTTTTAATTGCAACAGGGGAGGTAGGGTGGAGAGGCAAACAAAAAAAATGGCATACATTTGGAGTTGTGTTACTTGCCACCAAATGTAAGTCCAATATTCACTTGTGTTAGTTATGTTTTTGGTCTCCACTTCTTAATATCTTTTGTTGCTAAGTACTCCACCTGCTAGTTGCTAACTTTGCCTGTCTGTTTGATGCTGGGCAGGAAGCATACAGTGGGTTTCACACCATTGTGTTGCTGAAAACAGCTGCTTGCACCTGTATAAAAGCATTTTGTGAAGCACTTGTGAAAGTAATGAGTGAACAAGTAGAGTTGCAGGCTGGAAAACCAGAAAGAGATTTTTTGGAGATCACTAACAAGCGTAGTGTGTCAGATGCCTGCAGCTGTTTTTCATGTTGCTTCTGTGGAAACATTTCATAACGTTATAACAGTTGTTAGCTGTGGACAGCCCATTCTGCTCCGCACCAGTGTGTGTTGGCGTGTGCGCGCGGTCAAACTACAAAATTGAGTTTACTTGGCAATGTTGTTGACTAACACCCAGCAGCAGTGCCGTTTTCTCCCAGAGGCCAAGGGAAGCCAGGGTTCCCCTGTTTTTATCACACTATCATTTTAATGAACACAATGTTTATAGTTTCGATAAATCTTATGAGTTGTTGTTGTTGTTGTTGTTGTCATCTCTTCCCCATTTCTCACCATCTTACAATAAGTGAAACAGCGCCCCTCTAAATGCAATGCATTGGATGTGTGTTAATTAACAGGAACATATGTAATATACAAATCAAAAACACTTATTTAGCTCTTATGTGCTTAAATGGCCTGGTCACAGAAAACAGGCCTATAGAAGTGTGATGTTATCTTCACCTCTGTGAAATTGTCTTCATCTGCACTGTTGTAACGTTCCACATCTGGAGACACCTTAAACTTGGACTCCACACACTGGGGCTGGGTCTCTGAGGCACTGAAGCTGTTGGGATAGTAGTTTGGAGCTCCACCTAGAGGCTAGACAGACCAAACACTGGTGAGTGGGGCAGGAAGAAAAGAAATGCTGTTGAGGGTTCAATTCTGCAAAAGAAAGTAACTAAGCTTACTTATAATGAGTAAATCTGATGCCAGACACATCAGTCACTATGGCTTTAAATATGGGATGCTGTAAATGCTGTGTTAAACTTTTCAGGTAAGTTTTTCCAAGTGTTTTGCATGGTGCGGTCGACTGTTGTAAGTGCATATATTCTACAGAGTTTGGTTACACTGGGCAAATTAAAAAAACCTTCTCATATGCCTGCTTTTTACTGATGGGAACGCTTGCTGAAGCACTGAACCACTATGAAGAAGATGTGCTGCAAAAGGTTAATTATGTAAACACCTTTGAAACGGTCCAAACGGTGACATCTAGTGGACAACCCTTAGTATTGTATTAGAGTGGAATGGCTAGTACAAACAAAAGTATGATAATGTGGCGAGAAGTCAGTTATAAATATCATCACTGACTTCATTCAATGTCAGCATCACTATTGGTTTTTGTTGTGCAGTCAAAGAAGGACATATAAACAATTGGATTAAAATATGCTTTCTAATGATTATAATAACTACTTTTGATGTTCTGACAAACAAAATAATTTGTACTTGTGTATGTTCTATAATCACTATTAATTGTTGAGCTGCAGTATGAAAAGAGCTACAGCAATGTGCAGTTTGACAAAAATATGGTGTTTTTTAAAAATGAAACCATGTGAACTGTTCTGGTACAACCCCTAAATAAAGTGATGAACCTGAAAATGAGAATAATATGACCTCTTTAATAATGTCAATAACCCGTATTACAATTAGCTCTCTTGGTGAAATTCTTCACTCACTTCAACAAAAAAAAAAAAAAACCTCTCACATCAAGAACTGCTTGGCCTGCTTGAAGGTCATGACCTGGATGTAGAAGGACCAGGATGGGTAGTTGCCATTGGCAATGTTGTTGAACAGGTCTCCAGTGGCATAATCTGGGTTGGTGGAAGCCAGGCGGTCTGCCTCCTCTACTGGCAGATTCTTTATTCCTTGATCAGTCTAAAAAACATGCACATAGGGCAGCACATAGGACATAACTAAGCAATGGAGGAGGTTAAAGTTAAATGCGGGTTAAATCAGGTCTTAAACAGACCTTGTAATGGAACTTGCGGCAGACACACCCGCCAGCAACATTGACCAGTTTGAAG